TCAGAACCCTCGTCTGCCTGCGAACCTTGCACGGGGTGTGTGGCGATTAGGTTTTTGGGGAGCGATTCCGCGACTGCTCGTCCAAGACATCTTCTTCCTGGTGATCGCTCGCGGAACAGCAAGGTGTCTTCTTTCCGGTGACCGTTCGTGGAACTGCACTGCGAACACATTCCTGCATCGACTGTGGTCCACGACTTCGAGCAACGCACTATGTCTGGTGCGAATGGAGCCTCCGATGCCCTCGGCATGGGACCCTCCGCTGGATACACTCTAAACTCTCTGATTATCGTACTTTGCGTACTTACTGTATCGATCGGTATGTCATACTTGCATGCTTTAGCGTTTGTTAGTGATATACATATGCACATATATGTTGTCACAAACCTGCTGACGTTTTATTTCTGGATTAAATTGACCATAAAAATGCCTAATTTTCTAACAATGGATTGCGCAACAGCTTTCACAAGTATCTCCTTCCCAAACTTGGAAAGGAGTTTTTCTTGCCATCCTTGAATTCTAGTCCAGATCTTCTTCTTAATATACTAAAATGTTTTCTTCCTTGATACTCCAACTGCAATTGGTAGGCCCAAATAATTTTCTCCACTAACTTCTTGGTGGATTGACAGAGTAGATTTCATATGAAATTTTATATGTTGGCTTGTATTCGAGCTGAACTTAATGGATGATTTATCCTTGTTAATCACTTGACCAGAGGCCCTTTCATACGACTCCAAAATATGTCTTAGTTGTCGTGCACCACTTTCTCCGGTCTTCATTAAAATCAAAGAATCATCAGCAAAGAAAAGATGATTTACTCTTGGAGCCTCTCGGCATATCCTGATGCCTTCCATCTTCCCCTCGCTCTCAGCTCTTTGCAGCATACTTGACAACGCTTATGCACACAAAATGAACAAATAAGGTGAAAGGGGGTCACCCTGTCTTAGGCCCCTTTGAGGGGAAATACAATGGGCATACGAAGCATTGACTTTAATTTTGTACGAGACTGGAGAAACACATTTCATTATAATCCGGATCCATTGCTCATTAAAACCCATTTTCCTCATTATGTTTTCTAAAAAACTCCATTCAACCCTGTCGTAGGCTTTGCTCATGTCTAGTTTAATAGCCACCAATCTTTCACCCCCTTTCCTTCTAGATTTAAGATGGTGTATTAATTCATATGCAAGTAGGACATTATCAGTGATTAACCTCCCTGGGACAAAGGCACTTTGGGATGGGGAGATAACTGCAGGTAGGATCTTATTCAGTCTATTAGCTAGGACTTTTGAAATGAGTTTGTAAAGCACGTTACACAAACTAATAGGTCTTAAATCTTTATTTTTCTAGGGGAAATTGGTTTTTGGGATCAACACAATGATTGTATCATTCCAACCCTCAAGCATAGGACCCTCATTTAACACATTAAGAACCTCTTGTTTCACTCTATCCCCAATTAAGGACCAGAATTTCTTATAAAAAATAGAGGGTATACCATCAGGTCCTAGCGCCTTTAAATCTCCTATGCTTTCAAGGGCTTGCCAAATTTCATCCCCGGTAAAAGGTGCAATTAGGCCATCATTCATCTCTTGTGTGATTCTAGGATCAACACAATTCAGGACCTCCTCCATAGATATATTTGCCTGTGACATGAAAAGTTCTTGGTGGTGGTTAGCTATATAATCTTCAATTGTTCCCCCGTCACCACATCTCCATTCTCATCCCTCAGCTGTTTGACATAATTCTTCCTTTTGCGTTTGGAGGCGAAAGCATGGGAAAATTTGGTATTCCTATCCCCTTTAATCAGCCATGTGTTATGGGCACGCTGCTTCCAATAAACATTTTGTTGATCTTGCAAACGCTCAAGCTTATAACGTAAGATGTGTTCTCAGTTTACTACTTCTTGGGATATATTTTGCCTTCGACATTTTTCTAGTTCGTTCTTGGCTTTACTAATTCTTTTCTCCATCTCTCCAAGGACATTCCTGTCCCACTCCCACAAATCATGTAGGACCCTTTTCTGTACTTCCATCGTGGTGTTTCTCCCTTCCTCAATTGCCTTTACCCATGCTTCTTCCATACGGATCGCACAATCCTCTTCCTCCAGCCACTTGGCTTCGAATTTTGGTAATATTTCCATATGCTTTCTCCATTCTCTTCTTTCCCTGGCTTCCACATCAATAATTACTGGCCTATGGTCTGATTTTTGGGGGTCCCCATTTGTTACCCTTAGACCGTCTCCAACAAGGAACCTATATGGGTACCCAAACCCAAAATGGATAACAAGAGACCCAAAATCAGCCCAACAGAGTACCTATACGGGAGACCTATTTTGGGTTGCCTGAGAGGCACAACCCAAATATGGGCATCCTCTCTTCTGGAAACACATTTGTAGAAATGATTCTCTTTTGGGTCTTGTTGTTGGAGAAGATGTTGAATAAGTATTGAACATTTTGCCTGTAGTGCTACCCAAAGGACGAATGTGTTTTGTATTTTGAGTGTTGTTGTTGGAGATAGCCTTGCCCGAGGAAAAATGCCTCTCCAAACACTATTTGCAACAGCCCTATCAAGTCTCTCCTTAATGTATCGAGCAGCCACATGGTGGTTATTTCGCCAAGTAAAAGGGTTACCAATAAATCCCATATCCTGCACTTCCGGCCTCAAGGACCCCGCCACATGGTGGTTATTTTGCCAAGTAAAAGGGTTACCAATAAATCCCAGATCCTGTAAATCACAGTCCTCTAGTGCTGAGCGAAATTTCTGCATACACACTTCCAGCCTCAAGGACCCCCCCCCCCTTCTCTCATATGCAAAAAGGATCTCATTAAAATCCCCGCTGCATAGCCATGGCATATGGTATTTCCTCTTTAGATTACGCAGCAGGTTCCATGTAATATTTTTCATTTCGCTTGGACGACTAATTTGGATAGGGAAAGATTGGTTTTGGATTCTACATTAACCCTCAATAATCTGCTTTGGTTTTAAGAGTGTTCGGTAGCAAAGTAATCTTTTTTATAACTTACTAAATTCTTTATTAGAAAACAAAAGGGGCACGTTAACGCACGACTCTTCTTCCTTATCGCGCCCCTCCTCCATCACTCATGTTTCCACACCTCCACCTACACTGGCGGCTCTCCCCGCCGTATCGTTCCTCCTGGTTCCTACCGTCATCCTGAACCCTCCCCTCCCCTCCCTGCGACCAGCCCTGCCGTCCGGGCCGCCCGCTCCGGTAATGACCTCGCCACACCGCTAGGACACAACCAGTACGAAATGGACCTGGATCTTGCAGGAGACACATTACACCATACTGTAGGCGGGACTGGCATCCATGATGTACTCTATTTATGTCGCTGCCATACGGAGCTTGGCCCTGGTGCGAAGTATGGCCTCGTTTAGTTGGCGATTTTTTTTGGAAATGGTACTATAGCACTTTCGTTGATATTTATCAATTAGTGTCCAATCATAGTCTAATTAGGCTTAAAAGATTCGTCTCGTGAATTTCGTCTAAACTGTGTAATTAGTTTTATTTTTTATTTATATTTAATGCTTCATGCATGCGTCCAAAGATTTGATGTGACGAAAAATCTTGAAAAATTTTACAAAATTTTAGGAATAGTGGATGGTTTACGGAGACTCAGGATTGCAACCGCGTGAGTGGCTTCTGACAGTTCGGACTCTGAACTGAGGTCAGGATAGCTTCAGGCCGCGTTTAATTCCTCAACTTAAAGTTTATTCCATGTCTCATCGAATGTTTGACACATTAATAGAGTATTAAATATAGACTAAAAAATAATTAATTACACAGTTTACAACTAATTTGCGAGACGAATCTTTTAAGTTTAATTAGTTCATGATTTGATAATATGGTGCTACAGTAACACATGTGCTAATGGCGGACTAATTAGGCTTAATAAATTCATCTCGTGGATTACTGACGGATTCTGTAATTTGTTTTTTTATTAGTATCCGAACAGCCCATGCAAAACTCTCATGTGACACCCCAAAACTTTAAACTATAGATTTAAATAAGGCCTCAGAACCAGAGGAACCATACTCTGCTTTACCAGCAACTGCACATCAACCTGCAACACATCTGTCATTCGGTCACCTCATCGGCAACACCTGAGGATACTTTCCCCCAGAGATCCTCTGCCACTCACCAGTCACCAGTGCAGCCATCACAAGCTGCTGCTTCATTCAGTCTGATTTATATCCACTCAGACACCGAACAACGGAAGAAATGCAGGCCCCACTGTCCGACAACAACTAGCACCAACATTTGCCTCTGGGACAAAAACCCAATAAAAGATTTCAACAGAGAAGCACAATTCATCTAAGAATCGGTCATTCTTTTAATAAGCCTTCATCAGGGCAGTCTGATGCTATACAACACTCGGAGCCAGAACCAGTTCACCACCTTACACATTGCTCAACCACATGACATAGAGTACAGTAAGCTGATACACCTGCTAGCCTAGAGTACATTAGATCTCACCCTATATGGACCATTCTTTTGGGATAAATTTTGAATTGTAGAATTGCAGAGTATTCTGGGACAGGAGTACAAAAAAGGTCAAAAAAACATTACTATGGCCACAGCCTCACATGCTTCTCTTGTACATTTGCCTATCTACAAGATATAAGTTTATTGGGGTTTTCCATGGCAACCCGACATCAGTTCTTCGCCTATGTATAAAACATTTGCCAACAATAAAACTGGAGGCTGCATCTGGCTATGGTAGCTGCTGCTCTGCGTCCAGGAAACAGCACACCCATCAATGTCTTACAAAGAGCCTGCATGCACCATCCATCTAAAGTAAGAAATTATTCAAGTTTCATCAAAGCGATTCTGTTAATAAAAAGAAATAAGAGGAGACAGGATCTTTTACCTTGAAGAAGATTCAACAAAGCCTTCCTCTACCAATGATGATTGCTTGGCACTTATAAGGTGAAATGTATCACAACCTAAATGTATTCCAACAACAACACTCCCTGCCTCAGACTCAAATGCTTCTCATATACTCATTCTTATCACTAATTATAGTGAAATCAGCTGGATTTCTGTTAGTCACACAGATATCCTTCCTCACAAGCTTATCCAGCGGATGAACTGTTTTCCCATTGCCACTGGTAGAAGGTTGACCTGTACCATACCTTGGCAATTGGTACTCTGGATTGGCAACAGAGGTAACAGATCCCAACTGCAGAGCATTCCATCCTGCTGAGAACATTTCTGAGTTCAAGGCCTCGTAGTTTCCTTTTCTGTTCATATCAAGCGATGTTGTCCCTTTAGAGTCACCTAGTCTGTATCCAGAGTGTGGCGCACAGTTTTCAGACCAGTTTGCAATATCCTGCTGCAGCAATGAACCAAGCACGCCAACTCGAGGATGAGGGCGTACAGGCCTGTGCAAGTTTGGCTGGACCTGACGCCGAGATAAGTCTTGCAGTGTCAGTGGAACCTCTTCAATTATGTGGCTTCCATATGATGTGCTCGGTGATGCATTATACTGATCATGCTGCGTAAATTGTGTACCGAGAGTTTGTGTTTGATGAAGTTCCATCTGGCTCCTGTCAGGTCTTTGATAGTTTCTGAAGCCTGAAGCTGTTGATGAGTCCATCAGCCTCAGAAGATGTGTTGCGGGCATAGGCTCTTTTGGATAAAGGCCTGACTGTCCAGGAATCCTTTGATCGTACAGCCTACCAGACCCCATAGTCAATGCTGTGCTTGGAATACTTCTTGGCTGAACCAGGCTAACTGCTTCCTTTGTGTAGGGATCTACGGCCACAATTACTGGCTGGTGAGCTGCATAGTTACTAGAAGCTCCATATGCATGAATGGGAGCTGAATCAGCTTCTTGAAGTCTGTTTCCAAATTGAAAACCATATGATGATGTTGGTGAAGTCCTTAAAGCTGTCTTGAAAGAATCCCACATCAACTTCTTTTCCCCGTTATCCCTCCAGCTCCGAGCAGTGCCAGCAATATGTTGATGATTTTGAAATATAGGTGAGGTACATGCAATGGTGACTTCTTCGTCCCTGTGGAATTGTGTCCGTTGTTCCTGTGTACACTCCAAAATGTCAAGGACAGGTAATTTTGAAGGGTACACATTGAAAGACCGTGTGATGGGTAATGCATGAACCTGAAGCGAATTCTGCACTTGTGATTCTGGAGGATAACCATTTGGAACCTTGGTGCTGGTGCTGGATGTTGCATGACACTGTGATGACTTCTGAGTATGTAAATCCTGCGGAGTCATGTTGGCAGCCTCTGTACTGGATGATGCATGATCCTGTAAGGACTTCTGCTGACTTTCCGATGCCAAAGATTTCTGGAAATTAGTGTTGAACTCATTTGATGCATTGATTCGACAATCCTTGGCTGCAAATTCAGCACAGTCAACTTGAGCTACATTGGGTTGAGTATGACAGTTTTCCAAAGAAATGGTGTCAGTCATCAACTGTCTCTCATGCTGATTTCTGGCGAGAAGTTCAACAATGTCCATGGGGAAGTCATCTATCACATTCTGTTTCTCATGCACCTCCTGCTTTCCTTTCTTCTTATTCTTTGGTATATTCTTCTTGCGGAGGCCAGGCACCTTCTGGATCTTCTCTTTATCAAGAGAAACCTGTGGTAACGAAGAAAAGTCAATATTTCATAATATCCGCAAATTCAGATCAGGGTAGAAGAGGGTACAATATTTGTAGAGAAGCAGAGTAAATTTTCAGTTTGGATTTCCTATTGCTTGCACCATTGTAAAAATAATATATCATAATAGTTTATAACGAAAGTGTATGTAATTTGGGATTTGCTAATTTGCTCACTTGCCATCCCAAACTAGTTACACACACAAATAGCTAGTTCAGTTGGCATGCGTGCAGACTTGTGAACTCAAATGTCAGAATCAGAACTCAGAAAAAGTGCCAAAAAATTCTAGTGGTGTACACAACAGCAAGCACGGATGGCATGGGAGCAAAAGTGGTTAGAGAGAAATGCACAAACATTATAGGGATTAAAAATCCTATACTGGACAAAGGTCCCCAATTCAGGTCAGCAAAAGTAGGTAAAACAGGTAAATGAATGTAATAATTTATTTATATATTCAGTAGGATTTTTTCTTTAATAATACCTTTGGCAAACATCTCTGTACAGAGCCTTCAGGTTCCATTTGAGGTAAATCATCTGACCTGAGCATATCTCTCTTTATAGTACTGTTCTCAATGTCAATGTTCTCGTCATGGGCAACTGAAGTGGACAGCACCTTTCTTTTCAGCAAAATTGCTGATTTTTCATTTGAGAAGAACCTCTGTTTCAAGTTCCTGGATTCATTTTGGCACAGGTCATCCACCTTCTGCATATTTTGCTCCAGGTTGTCATTCTTTGCCTTTCCATTGCCATGATTGGCATTGGTAGTAGATGGCACCTTTTCCTGGCCCACATCCCCAACTGAGGGTAGGAAATCATGATGCATATCATTAGAAGCAACTATATCTGGGCAAGAGTTTTGAACGGCAGAGGGATCAAGATTCTTGTGTTCTGAGTCTTTTTTCTCTGTTCTAACTTTCTTATGAGTGCTTTTCAGCCAGTTCATTAGAGAGGATCCATCGTCTACCTTGTCTACTGTGTGTTTTGCCTTGTTCTTGACAGCTCTTGACTGGATTTCATCCACTTTCTCATTAGGAGTGTCATTATCTTTTCCAACCTCAAGGTGCATTTTTCTTTTACCACCCTCACAGGATTCAACACTGTTTGCATGGTCCACTTGAACGGCATCTGCAGAAACCCCTACCTGCTGGTCAGTGCCTATGAGTTCTGATAACAGCCTAGTCTTTTTTGGCTTTCTCTGAGAAAATTTGATATCTGAAATATCTGTCAGTTCAGTGGATTTGTTCCTTTTCTTCTTATGATCAGATCCAACATTTCTTTTTAACGATGCTCGGCGTGGACCCTTGTTGCAGACTTGGTTGTTTTTGTCCCCAGATATTTGTTTGCCTTTGTGCCCAGATACTGGTTTACAAACATTAGACTCATTGGGGTCATCATTGGGAACACCTTGAGCTATGTTGCTCTCATCTTCATTTGGAGCCACACAAGATTTTGGACTAGGTGGATCCTGTGTGCCATTTTCTTCAATGATTGATATCTTTTGAACATCATCAGGTACATGGCTCACATCCTTGGAGACAGCATTCAAGATATTTACTGACACATCCATATTATTGGGACAGGCCTGTAAATCTGAGGAAATATTGTCATATTAGCTTATTGTATACAACAAAAGGTATTAATTAAGAATTCAACATGCTCAGCCATACCTTGTGTCGCTGGAACACTTCTTTCAACGAGTGCCTCTGGGACATTTTCTTCAGCTACTGGAACATTCATCGCAGTAATTGCTTTGTTGCCAGGAGAACTGCATTTTGAATTACATTCTTGGGCGGCCTTTGAAAGGGTCAATCTATCAGATGATTGCTGTGTGCAAGGAAACAGTCTTCTAATCCGAACAATTGAAATAGAGCAGCCATCATCCATTCCATCCTGCTCCATAGAAACATTTTCAGGTGTAGGTCTATGGCCTGAAACTTTCATTCTATCAAGACATGTTGAGCAATCCCATTGATGATACTTTGACACCAAAACTGGGGACGAATGGTGCTCATCACATTGTGGCTGGTTATGAAAAATATGAGGAGAGCAAAGCTTCGGATCCTTCTTCTGCATCATAGCAACATAACCCCTGACAAAAGCATCAATCAACAATGAGACTTATGATATATATGCATAGACAAATCATCAAATGTTTGCTCTAGATAAAAAGAAAGGATCAATATCCAAAAGCAATTCTCAATCAGAAGTTGTGCATAGGCAATTTTACTCATGAATCTCATTTTGTCCTCACTTTGTGAATGTGTAAGAAAGGAAGAAAGAAAGAAACATTTACATCATTCATTTCTTCCCCTAATCCTGCTGCTAGCCCGATGCCTTGATCTCATCCATGCCAATCATCTTCCTCAGCTCCATGAACCGCAGGCGTCCGAGTGAGTTGGTGAGGATGTCAGCGAGCTGTCTGCCGGTCTCGACAAACTCGATGACGATCTGCCCTCCATCGATGCAGTCCTGGAGGAAGTGGAACTTGATATCGATGTGCTTGCTCCGGTCGTGGAGGACAGGGTTCTTGGCGAGGGCGATGGCGGGCTGGTTGTCCACCATCAAAGCTGGCGGGTGAGCTTCCTCGCCGGTCAGCTCGCCCAGCAGCCGGCGCAGCCGTACAGCCTGGCATGCCGCCGTGGCCGCTGCAATGTACTCCGCCTCACACGTCGATAGCGCCACGATCTTTTGCTTCAGCGACTGCCAAGCAATGGGGGCCGCTCCAAAGAAGACGAGCACGCCGGAGGTGCTCCGTCGCCCATCAATGTCGCCCGCCATGTCCGCATCGCTGAAAATAGTGAGCTCCGGCTCACCTTCCTTTGCCTTGGGGGGTGCTTCACTGAACACCGTGAGCCACAACCCTCCCTTCCCGCCACTCTTGGAGAAGATGATCGCTTGATCGAGCGTCCCCTTGACGTAGCGCAGCAACCTTTTCACTGCGGACCAGTGATTTTCACGCGGGTCCTCCATGAAACGGCTGACGTACCCAACCGCGAACGCAATGTCCGGTCGGGTATGAGTGAGGTAGCGCAGCCCGCCGACGATACTCCGATAGTGCGTCGCGTCCACCTTTGCAACAGTGCTGTGCTTGCTCAGCTTCAGCCGCTCCTCCATCGGAGTCGCGCACGGCTTGCACTCCGCCATGCCGCCGCGCTCCAGCAGCTTCTCCGCGTAGGCGCGCTGACCAAGGGAGATGCTCTGCTTCCCCTGCCTCACCTCGATGCCAAGGTAGTAGGAGAGCGCGCCGAGATCGCTCATCTTGAAACGAGCCGCCATCTCACGCTTGAAACCATCGATGTCCTCTGCTTGCGCTCCGATGACGATTAAGTCATCCACGTCCACGCCCACGTCCACGCCGAAGATGAGTTTCTCCTTCCCCCGTCGCCGCGTGTAGAGCGCGTGCTCTGTAGCGCAGCGAGTGAACCCAAGCTCGCCCAAGGTGGCGTCGAGCTTGGCATTCCACGCCCGAGGGGCCTGCCGCAGCCCGTAGAGCGCCTTGCGCAGCTTGAGCACCATGTGCTCAGCGCCCTTGACGGCGAAGCCCAAAGCTTGCTTGACGAAGACCGTCTCCGCGAGCTCGCCGTTGAGGAACGCAGACTTGACGTCGAGGTGGTGGACACGCCAATCCTTCGCTGCTGCCATGGCCAACAGCAAGCGACCAGTCTCCATTCGCGACACCGGAGCAAAGACTTCCTCGAAGTCGATGCCCTCACGCTGCACGAAGCCGCGGGCGACGAGCCGATCCTTGTACTTGACAATGGCGCCGCGCTCGTCCCGCTTCACCTTATAGACCCACTTCAAGCCTATCGGCCTGCAGCCCACCGGTGGATCTACCGGCTGCCATGTGCCATTTTCCTCGATGGCCTTCATCTCTTCCTACATCGCCCGTCACCAATTTGCGTCACGTTCAGCCACTGCGAACGTCGGTGGCTCCTCGGCACTAACAAGGAGCAGCTCTGGATCGTCGAGCAGCCGACTCACCAAGCCTGTGGCCCCTGCATTGCCGACGATGTTGTCCAGCCTGCGGAACCAGACCTCCTCGCCGTCGTGTAAGGCATCCATGAACTCGCTGATGTCTCTCGGAGGGGAGGTGAACTCGGTCGGTGGCCCCCGGGTTCCCTGTTCTGCGGGAGTGATCGGCATCGCTGCTGGACCGCTCGACACCATTGTCGGAGTGGTCGGATCCACTGCTGGAGCGGTCGGCACCACTCCTGGAGTGGTCGACTCTACTGCTGGAGCGCTCTGCACTGCTGCTGAAGTGTTCGGCACCCCCTCTACAGTGCTCGGCACTCCTCCTAGAGTGCTCGGCACTGCCCCAGGAGTGCTCGGCTCTGTTGCTGGAGTGGTCGGCACTTTCTCTCCAGCGTCTCCACCACCGTGGATGACCATGCGCTCAACGACGAAGGTGCTGGTGAAGCCGCCAGCTTCCCCCGTGCCCGGACTGTCCCAGTCCCAGGCTGCATTCTCATCGAACACCACATCCCTAGAGATCACCACCTTGACTCTCTTGGGATCATAAAGCCGATAGGCCTTGCTTCCCTCCTCGTAGCCTAGGAGCACCATCGACGTGCTCCTGTCTTCCAGCTTGCCGAGATGAGGCTTGGTATTCTTCACATGGCCGATGCAGCCAAATGTCCTGAGGAAGGACACATTCGGCTTGCGTCCATGCCACGCCTCGAACGGCGTCTTTCCCTTCAGGGCCTTGGTGGGCGCGCGGTTGAGGATAAACACCGCCGTGGTTACCGTCTCTCCCCAGAACTCCGCCGGCATCTACTTAGCCTTCATCATGGATCGAGCCATGCCGACCACTGTCTGGTTCCGCCGCTCCACCACGCCATTCTGCTATGACGAGTACGGCGCGGTGTGGTGTCGCACCATGCCCTGATCCGCGCAGTACGCAGCGAATTCCACCGAAGCGAATTCCACCGAAGTGAATTCGCCGCCACGATCAGTCCGCAGCACGCGCAGCTTCTTGCCGCTCTCTGCCTCCGCGCGCGCCTTGAACTTCTTGACCGCTTCCGCTGCCTCGGTCTTGCTAGTCAGAAGCTGCAGCCACATGTACCGGCTGCAGTTATCCACCAGCAAGATGAAGTACTTGCGCCCGCCGGGCGTCGCCGGCGTGATCGGCCCGCATAGGTCACCATGGACCAGCTCGAGGGTCTCTGCCGTGCGGTACTTCGCCGTCTTCGTAAACGGCAGCCTTCTTTGCTTCCCGGCTAGGCAACTATCACACAGCTCGCCTGCGTGCTCGATGTGAGACAGCCCAGTCACCATCTTCTCCAGCCGACCAAGGGCGTCGAAGCTGAGATGTCCATACCGGGCATGCCACAACCACGGCTCCTCCGTGCGCCGTGCCGTCAAGCAGATGGGTTGCTCCACCTTGAGGTCGAGCAAGTACATCCGATTCCGGGACCTCTTCACCTTGGCAAGAAGCCGCTGTTCCCGGTCCCTGATCTTGAGGACGCCGTCCTTGATCGGTACCTCGCTGCCGCGCTCATCCAGCTGGCCAATGTTGATAATGCTTGAACGCAGCTGCGGGATGTAATATACATCCATTAGTGCGCGGTGCTCGCCGTGTTGGCACCTGAAGATGATGGTGCCGCGCCCTCGGATCGCCACCCTTTAGCCGTCACCGAACTTCACCGTGCCGGTCACGTCGTCGTCGAGCTCGAAGAAGGCTGCCTTGGAGCCCGTCATGTGGTTGCTGGCGCCAGAGTCCAGGTACCACCGCTGCTCCTGCTCGCCGCCCACATGTCCTAGGTGGATTTGGGCGCGCGGTTCGTCGAGGTTGACAGCCTTCAGAGCCTTCCCAGGCCCTTCCACCGCCATACCCTCTCCCTTCTCCTTGGCCTCAACGTCGTGCAGTGCACAGAACGTCGCCATCAGGAGAGTGGCCTCATCATCATCATCGGCCTGCGCCAGATGAACCTCAGCCTTCTTCTTCTGCTTGCGATTTAGGCACTCCTTTGCCCAATGGCCCGTCTTCCCGCAGCGCCGGCAGGCGTTGGGGTTGACCTTCTTCTTCTCCGAAGAAGCCTTACCGCGACGCTTGTTATCGCCACCGCGGCTGGAGGAGGCTTCCCCAGACTTCTCCTTCATCCGGGCAGCCCACTCCTCTTCTGTCAGCAGCAGCTTGCTGCTGTCCGTCGTTGTTGTAGCTTGCTCCATGCGCTCGTCCACCGCCCGCAGATAACCTGTCACATTCTCAATGGTGAGAGTCGATAAGTCCAACATCGTCTCTATGGAGAGAGCAATATGTATATACTTCGCCGGCACGGAGTGGAGGTACTTGGAGACCGCCTCTTCTTCGTCGATGGTGACGCCGTGGCTCCTCAGCTTGCTGATGAGCGTCTGCAGGCGCAGGGAGAAGTCCTCCACCGATTCACCATCCTTGAACTTGAGGTTGGCGTACTCCTACTTCCGTAGCTGGTCCATCGCCTTCTTTGCACGGTCGGAACCAACGCGCATCGCCGCAATGGCCTCCCACGCCTCCTTAGCAGAGCTCTTCGCCCCTAACGTCTCCCTGTACTCTGTTGGCACAGCAGCGAGAATGGCTTCCTACACTGACATGTCTTCTTCGTTGTCGGTGCCCTTATCAATGGCATTCCAGAGCCATCGGGCTCTGAGCTTGACCTTCATGGTCACCGCCCATTCGCCATAGTTGGTGCGAGTCAGCGTCGGCCAACTGGTGCCGCTGACCTCCCGCACCATGCGCACAATGACCTCTCGTCGTGGTGGCAGCACAAAGAAGCGCCTGTATTCTTGTCGCCCATCTCCAACATCATCAGTCATCGCGCCAAATGTTAATCCGACGACGGCGCTTATACGGCTCTGATACCACTTGTTGATCCCTGGCTGCCCTGCACAGGTAAGCAACTAGATTACCAGCACACACACTCACTCACTATGGTTAGAGGTAAAATAAGAGATTGAGAATAGCACACACACACTCAGCACAAGTACCAGCGTTGGCCGAAGCACTACCCTTTGGTTTGTGGCAACTGAACTAAGTATTCCATTGCCCTTTGGATGGAATATATACAACTCTAGCTGTACCTCTACCAGGTACATAATTGTTGGCCAACTACCTACTCCTGAGTACAAGAGTACACCAACTACCTACTCCTAAGGTATAGGATACACCAACTACCTACTCCTAAGGTACAGAGTATACCAACTACTTCTAGCAGTACAAAGCTTACCTCAGCCCACTACCAAGACATGGTTGATGTAATAGCTACCAACTAATATACTAGAGGTGACCTATTGCAATACTGCTACAGCTACAGGAACTTGTCGGCAGAGCCGATTAGTCCCCAACTCCCAACAGGGAGTGGTCGGCCGAGCCGACCAGTCTCCAACCAAGGAGAGAATGGGAGCAGCTGATTATGTCTAACATCATTCATTTCTACTTAGCTAGTATTAAACAGAAAAGAAGAACCATATGGCTAAAATCATAAAGTATAACGTCGGACATTTTCAAATTGAGAGCACAAAAGCATAGAAAGATAGTTATCGGAAGGACAATCCATGCACACACACAGAAAAATACATGAATGGACAACTGATAAATAAAGATTGACATGCATGTGTAACAAAACCAATCAGATGGTAAAGACATAATACATACATAGCAAATTAAGATTACACAAGACAGAAGGAAAATAAAAAACAAGCAACATAAATAGTGTGCATGACACATATTGGAGCCAATGGACCAACTGACCCTTCAGATCAAACCAAACGTACACCCATGGATGTTGAGCAATGTGTCACAATATAAGGCACAGGCAATTTTCTTGAAGAAAACAAATGACTGTATATAGGCAGAAGTATGACAAACCACGCTCACCCATTAAACATAATCGAACCAAACGTATGCACCCATGGACATTGAGCATTGTATCACAATAATATGTCCATGCATTGTGCTTGCAGACAACAAATGACTGTATAAGGCAGAAAGTTGATAAACCATGCTCACCTGGACGTTGATCAATTGTGTCACAATAATGCCAATTCATTGTGCTTGCATACAACAAATGACTGTTTAATAAGTATGCTTAATTAACCGTGCTCACACAGTACCAACTAAACAGTGCTACACAGCTAGATAGAGATGCATCGTTGAATGGAAGTCAAAGAAGAAACGCATACATCTACACTGGGTATGGAAAAAGATTACCTCAGGGAGAAGTGGTCGCACTCCTGCTCTGCTGGTGTGCTGTCAGATTCAGCAACTGTAGATAGACGCTCTGCTGGTGTGTCATCAGATTCAGCAACTGCAGTTAGACGGCGTAGTTCCTCCACTGCTCTAGCTCTACGAGCAAGAGCAGCTGCTTCCATTTGCTAGAAGCACAGTGTGCAGCACAACTTGGTCACTTAAGTCGTGATGATCTTGGAACCGAACCAAACACCTCACAGTACAGCCCTGAAAAAACAGCACGCATTGCATGACTTATCCTACACATCTTGTTTCATCCAGATAGCAGAAAGAGATAGCTAGTACGCTGAAACAAAGAATGTACAACAGGAATGAGGAACTAGCAGGCTTGATTGTGTAAATCCCAACACAACGAGACTATACATCTTACATGCTGTCTGGTTGTACCAATGAAAACACAAACGTAAATGAAATTGAGCCGTGGACGTTACCGGAGGGAATAGATTTGAACTAGCTCGCAACAAAGGGAAGAAATGAATACAACCGACCTCTAATTAATTCATTCCCGGACTATATAAAAAAATAAAATAAAATTGGAACGCCAATTACCAAATAAGGCAGAGATAGATAAAACATGATTAACTTCCATTCATGTCCATGCCAGCAAGGCTGCTGTGTTAACTCTGACAGAGTTGGCCACTCGTTTCTGCAAGAATCCAACAAAAGCCCGCATTTTTCGCGACATGAAATATAGGTGGTCACGGCTTCCGTGCGGGCACAGTAAGGCATCTCGCGTGTGCAAAATAAGGAGGGTGGGAAATAAGCAGGTCGTAGACAGCGAAAGTGGAGCTAAAGTCGGCCTCGTACGTAGCAAGAACGATCTAAGAAGTCCTTAAGCAGAAAAAGCTTCTGAAACCGAAGACCCGACCCGACCCGACCCGACCCGACCTCATCATCAATCAAGAGTTAAAATATTGATTTTTACCTGTGCCTTTGCTGTTGTCGTGGCGCTGAAGGGGTCGGGTGTGGTGGAGCTGCGCCGACGGACGTCCCCCGCTTTACACGGCTTCCTGCGGCGGACGGGTTGGTGCCGGAAGCAGGATGCGGGAAGGTGAATCGGAAGCTAGCGGTGAAGCTGGCGGATGGACGGAGCTCCTTCTCGACACGGTCGTCGTCGATGGCCGCCGCGGCGCCGCCTGGTGTTGCCCTCTACGGCGCCGTCGCAACCGCTCGCGCTCGGGTTCTTCGCCTTCCTCCTCCCCGCCGCCACGGACCAGATCCACGACTGGAAGGTGAAATCCGGTGCGGGTGGGCGCGGAATCGGGAGAGCACGCGCCGGCAACGGTGGGGAATAGGGCGGGCGCGGCGCGGATAGAGCGGCGGCGGAGGGCCGAGGGCTGCGGTCTGCGGGGACGCGAATGGGGAAAGGGGAATTTCACGCGAGAGCCGAGAGAGGCGAACTTGCGAGAGGTGAGAGGCGAGAGGCGAGGGTTTTTCTTTTTTTATTATAATCTCGGTGCGGGGCCCAGCCCTGAAAACGACGCTGGCTGTGGCTGGCCTTAACAATACGCGCCCTTGATGCCCTAAGCTACGTCTCGGGCCCCACACGCAGACACAGCTGGGGCAAAGGAGGTCACGAAGCAAAGCGAGCGACAGCAGGCACAGCGACGGCGCGGAAGCCGATGCGCCACACCCGATCCGCCCCCTCTATCCTTCCATCCATCCATCCATGCCCACACGTGACACTGACACACCCATCCCACTATCTTTTTTTTTCTTTATTAAACTTAATTAATTTAATATTAAATTATTATTTTATTATTACTACTGCTCCGTCCACCCACCGAGCAGCGGCAGGCAGGCGGCACGCCCACAGGCCACACATGATCGATCCTACTGCTACGCCACGTTACCACGGAGGATGAAAAGCAAACCCTAACCCTAACCTAGACGCTAACCAGAGGTTGGTTAACCGCGAGTAACCCTAGCTAACCGGAGGAGGGGCGGGGTGGTGGGCCCGGTCCAGGGCCAGCGATTGAAAGTGCCGTGACGTGCCCTGTGGGGGCTTTGGAGCATTCAAGGAGACTGGAGGTTGTTGTCAAGCTACCTTTACGTTTTTTTTCTTTTCGATTTTTAATTTGAGCTTGCTAGCTGCACACAAACAGTGTACCAAGGAGACATACTAGCAACATGCATCACCGTATATGTTAATTAAGCGGAAAATCTCACAAAGAATCTTGCGCAGCAGTTTTTGTATTGATTTGGAGATATCGTTCGAGTAGAATAATAATATATGAAAGGATACGCTTTTGCGGTGACGTCGTCTCTATCCAATGGCTTTAACAGATAGATGGCGATATAGGCTGCGCGGTCTAACGGATAGATGGAGATGTAGGCTGTGCGGCCTCGCATGCGGACCCTTGATCTACGTTCCATAGGCGATGGGTAGTTAGATCTAACTTAATTAATTCTTGCAAAGCTTTCACGAAAGAATCAAAATTTGATTTGGGAATTAAATATAGTCGCAGAATTTAAGGCTTATGGCGTGGATTTACCTGGATATGCTAGCTTTAGGATATCAAGAGTGACACATGTTAGCTGGACTGCCACTAGGAAAGGATCGGGTTGGGGCGCTTGATAATCAATGTCTCACCAGCGTCAGGTTAGCTGGCAGTGACCGTTGGCGATGTATCTTACAGCTAGTTGGGATTAATAGAAGAGAGAATGGGGTAGGGAGTCTTACTGAAATTAACAAGAGTGTATAAAGCGGTTTTTGTATTGATTTGGAGATATCATCCAAGTAGAATAATAATATATTGGAGGATATGGTATTGTGGTGATGATTGAATTATGTCTCGATCCAATGGCTCTAATGGTTAGATAAAGATGTAGGTTAGGCGACTTCACATGACCCTTGATCAAGGTTCTGTAGGCGATGGGTAGTGAGATCTAACTTAATTCATTCTTGCAAAGCTTTCACGAGAGAATCAAAATTCGATTTGAGAATTAAATATAATCATAGAATTTGAGGCTTGGCGTGGATTTATCTGGATGTGCTAGCTTTAGGATATCAGTAGTGAGGCATGTTAGCTAGACTGCCAAATGGAAAGAACGAGCTAGGGGTGCTTAATCAATGTCCTGCCTGCGTCGGGTTAGCTGGCAAGGACTATTGTCGACGTATCTGCTAGCTAGTTTGGGATTAACAGAAGAGCGAGTGGGGAAGGGAGTCTCACTGGAATTAACAAGATTGTATAGAAGCTGGCTTATGGTGTGGATTTACGTGGATCTGCTAGCGTTAGGATATCAACAGGGAGGCATGTGTGTAACTGGACTGCCACTATGAAAGATCGGGTTGAGGCGCTTAATAATCGATGTCTCACCAACATCAAGTTAGCTGGCAATGACCGTTATTGGTGATGTATCTGAGAGCTAGTTGAGAAAGAAGAGGCGAGGGGGCATGGAGTATCGCTGAACTTAACAAGAGTGTATAGAAGCTGTCTTATGGTGTGGATTTACCTGGATCTGCTAGCTTTAGGATATCAACAGGGAGGCATATTAGCTTGACTGCCACTAGGAAAGATCGGGTTGGGACGCTTAATAATCAATGTCCCGCCAACGTCCAAGTTAGCTGGCAATGATCATTCACGGCGTATCTGAACGTTGGGGTTATTAGAGAAGATTGGAAAGAGGGACAGGGAGTCTTACAAAAATTAACAAGGTTGTATAAAAAAGTGCTTATGGTGTGGATTTACCTAGATTTGCTAGCTTTACGGTATCAATAGGGAGGCATGCTTGCTGGACTACCACTGCACTAGACAAAACTTGGGGTGCCTAACCAATGTCCGCTAGCTAGCCTCCTAAAGTTAGCTGGCAATGATCATTGGCGATGTATCTAACAACTAGGATTAATAGAGGAGCCGAGTGGGGCAGGAAGTCTTTGTGAAATTAACAAGGGTGCATAGAAGCTGGCTTATGGTGTGGATTTATCTAGATCTTCTAGCTTTATGATATCAATATGGAGGCATGCTAGTTGAACTTCCACTAGAAAAGATTGAGTTGGGGTGCCTACTCATTGTCCCGCCAACATCAGGTTAGCTAGCAATGACCGTTGGTGCGGTATATCTGACAGAGGGTATTAGTAGAGGAGGCGAGTGGGGCAGGGAGTCTTATTAAATTATTAAGGGTTTGTATATAGAAGCTATATCTAGTGGATTTTGAGTATCAACGAGGAAGCAGGCTAGCTAGTACGCTAGTGCTTCATCAGTTTCCCAATAGAATGGGATTAGCTAGAGATATGACTAGTGGCGGCATACTGACAGTGGAGATGGAAGAGCAGTGGAGCGGTGAGACTAAATGAAGTTAATTATGAATAAGAGAGTGTATAGAAGCTAGAAGCTTGATGATGGAGGTATGATGCTGACGAGAGGAGAAATAAACTGTATTGATAAGGAAGGTAGGGGAGAGAGAAGGGGAGGGCCATGGCTAAATGGAATAAATTGCTCTAGATGATAGGATAAAATCCAACTATATACTAAACATGCATGAATGTATTATGCAAAGCTCAAAAAATGGATTAGACAAAAAGGAAACCAAAATTACCTTTTAAATAGACAGACACCAAAAGTTAACAAGTTTATATGAAGGACAAAAAGACTTATATTTACATGAATGACTTGGCTTTTGGCAGTAACTAAAACTAACAATCAACAATGCATTTAAAGTAAAAGAAAGGTAGTTAGGTTTTCTTTTCCTTAACTAATATATATATCGTGTACGTGTGTGGAAATGCTGAACAAATATATTTAAACTATTTGACCATAGATATGGTCCATGTTTTCCTTTATTTTTAAAACCATATGTTCGTTTAACTAGCAAAATATACAATCCTATTGTAGCGCTAGATAGACAAATTGGTTTTCATTTTCTCGTATATATACTATATATTCCTAGGCGCGTGCGTGCATATATAACTTCACATTTTTTTCTTATCTTATGCTAGCTTGCACACACCATGTTTTCCCCACTGAAGCGTGTTGTGTGGATCCATTGATAGAGAACAGCTACTCCAAGCAAGGTATATTCTGAACGAGAAGCAAGGTCGTTTTTTTGCCTTTCTACTTTCCATCTTTTACTCTCTTTGTGTCAGTAGAACATAGTTGATACAGTAGTCATACTCTGCTGA